TTTGCTGTTTTGTAGCATGAAGCTTTGTATCTTTGCTGTTTTGTAGCTTTGTAGCTTTGCTGTTTTGTAGCTTTGAAAGCTTTGTATTTTTGCTGTTTTGTAGCTTTGTATCTTTGCTGTTGTGGAAGAGTCAAGTTTCACCTAAATGAATCAGAGAATTTACATTTAGGCTCCTAAAGGGGCGGGGCCTAAAGGGGAGGGGCCTAAAGGGGAGGGGCCTAAGGGGGAAGGGCCTAAGGGCTGCTGCCAAGCCTGAAATATGCAGTTTTTAGGAGATTTCTAACAGTTTCTAGACTGTGAAAGAGGAGTTTTCCACCTCTAACTGTAGAGTTTGATGCTTTTGTAGCATTGAAGCTTTGTATCTTTGCTGTTTTGAAGCTTTGTATCTTTGCTGCTTTGTTTCTGGGGCCACTTCCTGTTGGAGTGGTTTTGGGAGAGTTGAGTTTCACTAAAATGAATCCTTATTTTCTTTTATTTTCGCTTGAATTTTGCAGATTTGTATCTTTGTTGCTTTGTTGTTTTGTATCTTTGCTGCTTTGTTTCTGGGCCACTTTGGTAGAGTTTTAATGATTTTAGAGCAAAAGATAAGATGAATTCACTAACATGAGTGAGAGAATTTACATTTAGGCTTCTTTTTTCATTTTATTATCTCTTGACTTTTGTATCTTTGTATCTTTGCTGCTTTGTTTCTGAGGCCACTGAGCTCCACATGTAAAACGAGGCCTTATCTGGATGTTCTTTTGGGTTTTCTGCCTTTGATGAGATAAATTTCACCAAAATGAATGAGAGAATTTACATTTAGCTCCTTTTTTCTTTTTCTTATCTCTTGACTCGCCTGTTTAGTGTGTAAACATCCATCCATCCATCAGCTGAATTACTTCTTTTGTTATTTTTCATGATTCTTGTCTTTAAATCGATCTGTTTCCTCTCTTTTATCTGCAAATCTCCTGTGTTTAAGGAGATTTTTAACACTTTGTACTGTGACAGAGGAGTTTTCCATCTCTAACAGTAGAGTTTGCAGCTTTGTATCTTTGTTGTTTTGTATCTTTGCTGCTTTGTTTCTGGGACCACTTCCTGTCTGAGTGGTTTTTGGAGAGTTTTAATGATTTTATGGCAAAAGATGAGACCAGTTTCACCAAAATGAATGAGAGAATTTACATGTAGGCTCCTTTATTCTTTTTTCTTATCTCAGGAATCGCCTGTTAATTGTGTAAACATCCATCCATCCATAAGCTGAATGACTTGTTTTTGTTATTTTTCATGATTTTCTTCTGTAAATCGATCTGTTTCATCTCTTTTATCTACACATCTCCTGTGTTCAGATGTGAAAACAGCAGTTTTAAGGACATTTCTAACTTTTTCTAGACTATGAAAGATTTGTTTTCCACCTCTAACTGTAGAGTTTGTAGCTTTGCTGCTTTGTATCTTTGCTGCTTTATTTCTGGGGTCACTTCCTGTCTGAGTGGTTTTGGGAGAGTCGAGTTTTAATGATTTTAGGGCAAAAGATGAGACGAGTTTCACTAAAATGAATGAGAGAATTTACATTTAGGCTCATTTTATCTTTTTTCTCTTGACTTTTGTAGCTTTGTAGCTTTGCTTCTCTGCTGCTTTGTTTCTGGGGCCACTTTTTGTCTGGTTGATTTTGGGAGAGTCGAGTTTTAATGATTTTAGGGCAAAAGATGAGACGAGTTTCACCAAAATGAAAGGGAGAATTTGCATTTAGGCTTCTTTTTTCCTTTTAATTTTCTCTTGACTTTTGCAGCTTTGTAGCTTTGCTGCTTTGTATCTTTGTATCTTTGCTGCTTTGTTTCTGGGGCCACTTTTTGTCTGGTTGGTTTTTGGAGCGGAGTTGATTTTATGCCATGATTTTATGGCTAAAAATGAGACGAGTTTCATCAAAATGAATGAGAGAATTTACATTAAGGCTCCTTTTTTCGCTTGACTTTTGTATCTTTGTAGCTTTGCTGCTTTGTGTCTGGAGTCGACTGAAAGCTTAGAAAGAGCCTCTATATGTAAAAGGAGGCTGTTAAACCCACCCTGAGTCTGGGGGGGGGTGTTTCTCAGGTTTTCCGCCCTGAGGTGGATAAACCCAGAGTGGAGCTAAAAGGATCAGAGTCTTTATTGTGGTAAAAACCTGCATCCAATGTGTTTACAGCCGAGTCCTGCAGGGAAACCGGCACAAGTGAATTTATTTATTATATTATATTTATTATTTCTGAGGTCTCTCGCCTTTTTACCTCAGTTTGAAGTCAACGCCGCCTTTTTTTCTGCTTCTTCTGACTCCAAATCTTTAGTTTTTTCGTTGTAACTTAAGCTCATTTGATCATTCAAACTTGTTTCCAAGCCTGGAAGGACGTGAGCTGCTATTTTGGGGGGATTTTAAGGCTAAAACTGTTCGGAAATTCATAATTTTATTGCAGAAGCTTCGAGGTTCTTGTTGCATTTCTGCCGATTCGTGTTTTTAACCGCAAACTTTTAAGATCTGTGGCTCTTTTTAACGTATAAAGAAAGAAAAACGACCAACGTATTTACAGTACATTTCTGGATGCTGGAACTGAGCTCATATCCAGGAAGTTTTAGTCTTTTAGTCTCTGTTGCTCATTTTTTTATATATATATATATATATATATATATATATAGGGGACA